ATAATAAATGTAACAATAACAATAATAAACAGAGTAAAATAATAAATGTAATAATAATAACAACAATAATAAAATAATAAATGCAATAATAATATTATAATAATAATAACAACAACAACAAAGTAAAATAATAAATAACATTGACTCAAGTATAAGCTGAGGGAGACTTTTTCAGCCTAAAAAAGGACTGAAAAACTAGGCTTATACTCGAGTATATACAGTATTTGTTCATTGTAAGATACCTAAGATTACTTATATCAGGAAACCAAAATGAAGACCAAGAGAAACAGCATATTTCAACTCCAGTTTCAACATCTGTCAGTCAAAATGACATTTTCCACAGAGAACCAGCAGTGTACTATTGTAATGTAGAAAAGGTATGAATGTTGTTGAATTGCAGCTTCCAAAAGCCCTAGACAGAGTAGCTGATAGTGAGGAATGCTGGGAGTTACAGTCCAAGAATATCTGCAGGGTTGTTTCTATCTGGTATAGAAAGAGATGGTTAGGTAAGCAGGTTGCCCTTTGATGCACCTATGAAGCATCATGCATCTCCATCAAGGAAACTGACACATTCTCATGCACAGTTCATAGGCTATCATTTTAAATATCTGAAACCCTATTGGTGAGAATTTTTTAGGTGAGGTGACTAAAGACTATTGTTTGGGTTCTGATTTACCCTTCTATGCACAGAAGGGCACCTTCCTTTCATGAAAAGGAATTCAATCTAATAGAGGCCACTACTGGGGAAAGGTACAGTTGCCAGTTCTCAGTGGACATTTTCCATAACATCCTAAAGCAGTGGTTCTCAACCTGTTTTGGCTTTCAACTCCCAGAAATCCTAACAGCTGGTAAACTGGCTGGGATTTCTGGGAGTTATAGGCCAAAACACCTGGAGACCCACAGGTTGAGAACTACTGTTCTAAAGTATCCTGGTCCCATTTGATCAGATGGTCCTTTCTGATTTGAGTAATATGTTCTTGTTATCTCTAAGTCCTTTATAGTCAATTTCCACCAGAAGTTGACCATAGAATCACTCTGAAGGACCTAGAGATTCCAAGAGAGGTCTTCTCTCAAGCAAAAAAAGCTTTTAATTATGGTTTTTCCACTTATGATGTGGTCCTTCACCTCTAACCACCATGAATGTAGAGGGTTACTTTGCAGAAATGTGAAGTACTCTTCTACAGTACTCTTTTGTTAGGCTATTTCTGTATGTGCATCTCTGACTTCTCCATTTCTTCAATCCTTAGTGGGGTATTATAGCCAGAAAGCTGAGAGGAGGGAGAAAATAGACTTCCTTAAGTGAAAATGTACAATTTCAACTGGGAAAGAACCCGGGAAGGCCCCTTTCCATTAGTAACTTCATAAGGTAACTTCATAAGGCCCTCTACTCTGTCATATAGAAAACCCATCATGTTACACACTGAGCAAACCATTATTTTATTAAGACAGCCTAAGAAATACATCAAAATGCTATAGCAATAAGGTGGATGCTGGATTACTAGTGTCTGACCTTTTTATCACTTTTAAGTTTAAATAAAAAGAGCAGGAAATCATAAAAAATTGTAAAAATTGATTTATTTGGGAAGGTTACTAATTGGCTTCATATCAGTGAGTGTCACAATGATTTTGAGATTACAGATCTGGGATATCCCATATGAATTTTCAGATCCAGAAGATCCCATCTTTTTCTTGTACGCAGTTTGTCACTCATTCACACACGCCAGAAAAGTAGTAAATTCCTACTCTTGCAACAACTAGAAAAGCAAGACCTACACTAGAATAAGATTGAGTAATACATGGATATGTCACTAACAGGATGCAAGCTAAATATATAAGTTCAGTGGAATATACCTTTTTCATGTGTGTATTTTTATGTATACATACGCAAACACCCTGTTTTCTCTCTTTCACACACACACAGACACACACACGCATATATATACACACACATATACAAAAGTTCACATGCATGTGCAAATATATACAAAATACAAAGACCTAGCTCCCTTAAGTTTCCATTTTTATTATTTGCCTAGGTATCTTTTTTATTTTAAAATCTCAGTAATGCTTCTCTCATCATTTGCTTCTTTTTCAGTTTTTTTTTTGGAGGGGTGGTCCAGTTCCCTTTGACCCTTATGTGGCCTGAAAAAATTGGGTTGTTTGCTTCAGTTGACATTCTCTGTGTTAAGAAGACAATTGATGCTACTTCCTGGTGCAACAAGCATTCCGATATTTAAAAGTAGAATTGATATACGCTATGTTGCCTTTTATTGTCTCCAGTAGATCCAATAATGTTTTTTTCCTTCTATCCCCCTCTCAACCATTTAGTTCCAATATCAATATCAAAAGTCAAACTGCTAATAGGTGCGACTAACTGTATTATATTATTATATTTTATTGTACCCTTTTCTCAATATGGGAGCCAATATGGGAGCCAAGGCAGCTGATATTTTTAAAACAAGGTGTATCTAAAATAAAGAATAACTTATCATACTGAGAGGTCACTCACTTAAACCAATGTAAACTCATTTTAAAAAGATAATAAAGAATATACTACACAGCAAAACCAGTTAGTCAAGCAAATGCTTGTTTAAAAAGTCTAACTTCTAATAGAAGGCAAGCAGAGAGTGGGCTAGTGTACGTCTTGGAAGCAACCCTCTCCCATTTGGTGCCATTATCCACAATTATGTCAACTAATGGCAGCCCCATGAAAAAGAGACGTCCAAATCACTCTGTCATCAACAATGCTGTTGTGGTCTTGCAGACTTAGAGTTTGATTGAGTCTACCCTTCTCTAATGCAGTTTTCCTTTTTCCTATTGCCTTTCCAAGCTTTATTGTCTTTTCTAGGAAGTCATATCTTCTCATGATATGGCCATGCCAACCCTTCCACCATCAATCTACTCGGCATTATTTTTTCTCCTCTGCAAAGGGATGACCACTTAAGACTTCATCCTACTGACTTTGGGTTCCATTTCCTAAATGCATGGAAATGGAGCCTGAAGCCCATCTTTAGGAGTCAGGTGTTACCCAGCTCCAGACAGGTTCCAGAAAGAAGGGGAAAGACAGGGGAAATATGGGTAAGGACGTGAGATGACTGGCCATCCTCCAAGATGGGGAAAGACAGGGAAAAGTGGAAGGGAAGGGTTGAGATGGTTCTGTTCGCTCTCCCCCAGTTTCCCCTCACACCGTCTGATGAAGTCCATAATGTAACCATACATCAAAATAAGGTGTATAGGATCCCTCACTTTTCTAGTTGGAGACAGGTGAGGCCATGTGGTTTGGGAGCTGCCCTGGGTTCTGTCGAGGAAGGACAGCTTCCAAATTGTACCAATACATATAAACTTCATCCCAAACATCATTTTGTGATACAAGATTCCTCATGAAATCTTGCAATAACCAATATCCTTCTGATTCTCTTCTTATGCCAGGGTATCATGCCTGCCAGCCTGGTGGAAGTTTAAGCTTTCACTGTCTTTTCCTGCCATGATCTCCAGTCATATTGAAGACTGGGTTTGGAAAGCAATAGTTTTGGATCAATAGTGGTTTCCCAGTCCACACTGAATTCCATTATATACCAAGGTAGAAAAGTGACCACAAAGCAGATCTTTTAAAAAGGGACAGTATGGTGGAAATATAATACAACAGCTTGATAACCACTGTAAAGCAGGAAGGTGGCTCAGATAGATGAGATATCTTCTGTACATGTTGATAGACTTCTTGCAAAGAGGAACCCTGATATCTTACTGGTCCTGGTGGTAGAAATGTATAGTTCTAGTATTTGCACATATCTCCTTCATCGGAAGGAATTTGTTTCCATGTGGTTTTTGTACTCACTTCAACACTACCAGTTATTGTTTTAGTTTCATCCTGTACGGACATATAATAGCGTTATTTCTTCACCTTTGGAAACTTCAATCCTGTAACTTCCCTTCCCAGTCTCACTCCTAGTAACGACAGTGATCAGAGGTTAGTCGCATACACAAAGTGCGACTTTAATGCTTATACCAACTGTAATAGACAAACAAAATAGACCTATACTTTTTGTTGGCCTAAAAATTACTACATTTGCTTATTTTCATAAGGTATGGGAGGGCTAAGAACAGAGTTTGCCTGACATCAGTCACTATTTTCTTAGCCAAATATTTTCAGAGTGGAGGGCAGAGATTTAAAGTTTGAGAAGAGGTCTGAGAAAGGAAACAAAATTATTGTCAGTAAACAACCATTCTGAACATTGACATGGATAAAGATAGGGATTGAAAGAGTCTTCTTTGGGCTACAATTTCCAGAATCCCCAGTTACCAGAACTAGCAATCAGCCGTTTACCTAAAAAGTAAAGTTTTCTAATTCTGGATTAAGGGTACATCCAGATTTATTAGACCAGAAAGTCCCAGATTTTGTTCCTATTCTTTCCTGTGTTATTTGTGGGAAGAGTTTTATCTCCAAACATTTTATTTCAGCTCCCGGTAGGATAAGAGACTTTTCATACTAGTTAGTTATCTTAACTTAGCATAAAAGAACAGGAACAAAATCTGGGACTATTTGATCAGTCTGGATGCACCAGTTAGTCACAGTGTCAGTATTTTCTGCCTTTTTTGTCATGTTCATGCCAAATTTAAAATCAAATGATTATAACACTTGCAGGCAAGATAAAATTGAATCCATGTTTTACTTATCAAACTTATTGCTGTTCCGAACCATACTTCTGCTGTCTGCTGTTCCATCCCATCACTATCAAACCTCTCCGTAAGAGTCAAACTGGCTTAGTTATCCAAAACCATTCTTGCTTCTGCGATATTGCTTGGTCATCTACATTTTCTCCTGTATGAAGTGGCTCTTTTGATGTGTCATTTCAGAAGAACTGACTTCTCCTAGAAGTCAAACAAATGAAACAAAACAACCTCACACCACCACCACCCACAACACTATTTCTGTGTTTTTGGTTTTGCTGTTGCCAGTAATGTTCACCCTTCATCCATAACTTTCTGCTTTTCTTCCCCAGAAAACCAAAAGGGATGTAAATAACTTTGATCAAGACTTTACACGAGAAGACCCCATATTAACGCAAGTGGATGAGGCAATTATAAAGCAAATCAACCAAGAGGAATTTAAAGGCTTCTCGTATTTTGGAGAAGAGCTGCTGCCATAGGAGCCCTCCCTGCACCTCAAATCGTGACCACCAGATCACTGACTCTGCAAGACGTGGTCCTGGGAAGAACCTCCAGACAGAACACCAAGAACTACTGCTCTTACCATGAACCCAGATACCCCCTTCCCTTCCTTTACACTATTATCTATCTATTTATTATTTTTCTCTCATCTTTGATCTGGAGGCTCTCATAACATCTGTATCACAAAACAATGCAAAATATTTTGTATCAGAATTTGTAAGTGTAACACATTGCTGTTGTTTCTTGCTGCTGCTTTATTGTTCTTAAATTCAATTTGGACTTTTTTGATTCTCAGAAAGGCTGTGCACCCGCCTTTCCATCCCACCCCCCACCCCCATGCATGGGAGTATGCCACTGAGCTGAGCCTACAAATACGATATAGGATTTACTGTATCAACATAATATTGGATCCAGACTTTGAGATCTAAAGTCAATTGTTACTTCCAATTAGAGTAGGCCTATTTAATCAGTGTGGACTTGGAAAGTCACCACTTATGCAAGTTCCATGCGTTAGTGGGTCTAGTTTATTTGACACTAACAATTGCATCAAAGCTTTATATCAGTTAAGTCCCTGGGTCTACTCTATGTACGCTAAAGTCAAGATTGACACCATTGTGTTTTGACAGGATTGTGCAGGTATTTAGACAGCTTTCGGTACAGGTCTAAGGTGTGCCCAGCAGCATGGGTAGGGCTAGATAAAAGTTTTGTAGCCCATTTCTAAGCACATGGATACACATTGAGGCATAAATAGATGCTCCTAGTGAGCAGCATCTGAAAAATATAAAATTGTAGGTACATGGACCCCACTCTAGATTAGAACACTGGAATGGAGATAAAGGATATTAAGTCTTGCTGTGGTCCTGATCTAGGTCAGTGGGGCCAGACCTGCAGTTTTCCCTATAAGAAAACTTCCACGGGAATGAAATCGGGTCACTTTTCTCCTCTCAGTGCAATCTGGACAACCCAGGACAGGACTTCATTAAGGAAGAAAAATCCTCCAATTCATTTAAGAGTCATTTCTAGCTTGATCTTTAAAAGAACAAGTTACCAAATTAAGGAAATTCCCTCCATTAAGGGGTTTCAGACTATTATCTTGGATTTCTAATGAGCATAAAACAATAAACCTGAGATGTATAGTTGAGAAATCTGCCACTGAATCTCCGACATTAGCTGAGGTCTTAGACTGAGAGACACAGCATAAAGGTCCACATAGATTCACCATTTCTCCTCCCACATAAATAATCTGCCACTTGAGCCACCATCTCCACAGTGGCCAGTAGAAACCAGGAGCCTCGCATAGATAGTCTAATTATATTCCCATAACTGGGCACAAAGCAACAAGACTTCCTCTAGGACCAGCAAAGCATTTTCCAGATTATGATGTCATTGTAAGCCGCTCTAAGTCTCCTTTGGGGTGAGAAGGGTGGGGTATAAATACAGTAAATAAATAAATAAATAGTGTGTCTGGCTATAGGAACATAGTTGGACACTCCTTTGCCCCATGCTCTCCTTCACTAGCCATGGAATGGCTGTATTGGGAATGCAAGAGGCATGCGAGTTTTGATGGGTTGGGGATTGTTGCATAAGGAAGGTGTTGAACTTCCCTCATCACAACAACCAAAGGTCTATGTCACCCACAGAATGCCAGCATAAAAAGACATAACAGAATCCAGTGGCATATTTCAAATTAGCTGGTTTATTCTAGCATAATTTGGAAATGGTTTATTTATAGACTCCACTTCAAATACTAGATTGAGAAGACAAGAGATTTCATTTCACTCATGGCGTGCTTATGCTAGAATAAATCAATTTATGTTCAAACTGGTTAGTTTCAAAGGTGCTACTGAATTATCTTATAACTTTTTAGGAAACACTATTTCAGTCTCTTCATTATTAGTGCACTTAATTTGGCTGTTATGTTGACTTTAGTAAATCTCTTTGCAACAGATATAACCATGTTGCTAGCCATTTGTTTTTGAGAGTTAGAAAAATTCTCCCAGGTAAGAGGTAAACTGGTGCAGACAAATATGTCACTGCAATGCAAGATGCAATGCCCTTGTGTGCCATCCCTCAGTCAAACATAGATTGGAGTACACCTATATTAACTTGCAGTGTTCTTCAGAGTAACAATTGGAATATGCTCATATTCTGAAGAAAGGCTTGTACCTGGTCCTGAGGGAAATAATTGAGAGAGATAGCTACATCATTTGATTAAGGAAAAAGACATCTCATTCTTAATAAAATGCAGGAAAAATAATATAACCAATTATGATTAATTCTCTTGGAGCAGATTAATGAAGAATGAAAAGTGTTCCAAAAGACACATGGACACGTATCTTCTGTATCTGTATATTGTCCCACCCCTTCAAAGGAAAAAGCACCTTTTTGCATGCAGGCAGAAAAGGTCTGTGGTGAAAAAGAATTATTTAATTGAATCTAACCTCTTGCAGGGAACATGGGAAACAGTCCCTGCTAATGATAGAAATGCTTAAAATTTGATACATGGCTTTTGAAGAGGGCATGAATCCCTCAAACTTTTCAGGGGAAGATTCCATGTGGCCTGATTTCACCTCCATGCTTTGATCTTATTAGAGAAGTAGATCTGGAAAATAGGTAGAATTCAATGACACATTATCTAAGTGGGGCATACCACTATCGGAGAAAGGCAGCATATAAATTAAAATAATAAATAAAGGAACTTGTGAGCTGTTTGGATGTTGGTTTCCCCAAAGCTATCAATTTCAGCTCTGTATGAAAAAGAAAAGGCTGAAGAAAGATCATCTCCTCTATTTTTATTCTGATGGAAGTCGTGATGAGGCTAAGGGCAAAATTCCCATTAGTTATACAGTATTATCATGAACCATAGTTACCTGGGAATGAGAGCCATTGGCTTCAATGAATCTGTTGAGAAGTTAAAGAGGAAGGTGGAATGCATTTCTGAAATTCTTCCGGGACTTTGTTCCTGGTAACATTTTATCCCTGGAAGATAGGCCATTTTAGAAGGAGAAATCCCTCCCAAGCACTTTCTCTCCATACTTATGTGTGAACCCATTCTACCAGTAGGCTATGTTGCAATAAGACTTAAGAGAATAGGGCAAAAATACAGTCAAGATTTCTTTCCAAAGCAGATTGTGGATCGAAAGAGTGTTGGAAAACAATCCAACGGAGAAAAAGTACAACTAATTAAATTAGTCACATGAAATTGTCCTGGAAAATATTGTTTGTAAGAATATATAACAATGATTTTAAGTGGGTTGTTGTGTTTTTTCCGGGCTGTATAGCCATGTTCCAAAAGCATTCTCTCCTGACGTTTCATCTACATCTATGGCAGGCAACCTCAAAGGTTGTGAGGTCCCACCTCTGAGGATGCCTGCCATAGATGCAGGTGAAATGTTAGGACAGAATGCTTCTGGAACATTGGGCGTACAGCGCGGAAAACTCACAACAACCCAGTGATTCTGGCCATGAAAGCCTTCGACAATACAATGATTTTAAGTTTTGTTTAAAATCATTATATGCAGAATGTAAGACAAAAAACATATACACACAGATACTTTAAAGACAGGTGTTAAAGGGCTAAAGAATGGACAAATTTCCCAAAAAGCCTATTACAGCTTTAATAAAGCAAAATAGGTTTTCTACAAATGTTACAGCTTTTTCATTACATACATGATAATCCTGCCATAGTAAAAGCTAATGTCTGATTCACTTCACATGTAATGTGAAGAGGATTGAACTGACTCCTTCTCCCCACTCCCCACCATATTATTTCATTGTATTAGGTCAGACTGATATTTATTTGCAATGAATAGCAGTGTGTTACTTTTGCAGACTTTGACCAAAAAATGGGCATGATTCCTCCTTTGTGCATTGACTGTACTGCCCCTGTCTCTTCCTTGTTGGCCTTGGGCCACGAATGGCGTACTGCAAGGCATCAACCAGGACTTGATAGGGTAGACCCATATATACTGGTTGTATGTAGTCTGTGCATATGAATTTGGACTGGAAAGAACTGCAGGTGTCAAACAACTAATGATTCATGTGAATGTCCCATAGTGCAGTGTGTCTACAGTAATTGTGTCTCATGCGCTTTGAAAATCCAAAGGAATCATTTTTTGCATGGACTTCAAGGCAAGCAAGGGTTAAGTGCCTCCGAGTTGTTTCAACCCTGGTCTTTATCAACCCTTCCAAAGGATGCTGTTTCCAGTTCTCAAAAGCCATGCATGCTAAATGGGAAGATTCATTGAACATCCAGTCTAGTTGTCATCTTCAAGCTGCACTTTTGTTCCCATCCGAAGGTCAGAAGGGAAGAAGGGGTGAAGATCATGTTATGCTCTGCCACTAGACTGAGTCATGCCCAGTAGGACTACTGGTTTTTGTGTTTCATTATTGAATGTCGGGTGGGGGGGGGGGGGATCTGGTATAAAACTGTGCTTATATAGGAAAATTTCAAAGCCAACCCATGTGTTATATGACAGTGTATTGAGAGACTGAAGATCAAGATGCAACATTACAACTGACATTGCTGAAAACTGTAAATGAATTTTCTTGTGTAGTCATTTAAAAAAAACTATGGTAACTCATGTGGAAAATACCGTGCATTAACAAACGTGACGTTACCACCTGTAGATATGCTGACAGTGTTATGTACTCTTCTGAGAGTACCCTGTGTTTATGTGTGCGCGTGCGCGTGCATGTGAGTGTACCTGTATTGTTGAGATTAATGTGTGTTTGTGTGTTGTGTGTGGATATCTATAAATATATAGATAGACAAATGCACACATTTCTGCATAAATACACATTTGGACTGAATGAGCAGCTAAGGGAATCCATTATACTTGGTGCACTTGGATTTTCCAATTGCACAAAATATAGATATAAATATAAATATATATATATATTTGTGACCGGCAGAGTAGCACTCAAGAAGCTTTTTTTCTTCCTTTTTTCCCTTTTTGGAGGGTGGGTGGGTGGGTTGCCTTTTGTACAGGTGAGGATTTTGTATATAGGTGTTTACTGCAAGGCCTGTGGAATTCAATGAATATAGAGGTATCAACTGCTGCATGTTCAGGCATATTATATAAAAAAGTTAGCCTATGAAAGAATAATTATAATGTCCATGTGCAATACTCTGTTTGTGTATTGGTTCAAGTTACTGTCAATAATGAGTTTTCCCCCATTCATTTCTCTCTCTCTTTTGTTAAAAAAAGAAGACGTAGAGCTATATTAAGCTGTACTAAACCTTCTGTATAGTTCTCTTCCAATTCTATAGGAAATGATAGTAATGTGGAGCAAAGAAGGGTCATTATTGCCAGAAACACAAGTTACCAGCTTGGAGACATAGACTCCATTCTGACGCTGGCCCACTAGCAGGGAACATGCTGCAACAAGGATTGTTCTTTTGCTTCTCGTGCACCAAGCAGAGAAGCCCCATGCCAAAGCCCAGGGCCAGCATCAGCGTCTTGGTCCACCTGCCATATTTTCCTCCCAAATGCCCTTGATTTAGCAGCACGCCAGGACATTGAAGTGGGGGAATTAAAATGAGTGTCTACATTCAGTAACCTGATGCTGCTTGTAGGATAGCTGATTAAAATACTGCTGCCTGCTATGAATGGTTCTGCCCTGCTTGGGAACTCACTGACAAATAAGGTTTATGAGATGGAGTGTGGTCTCCATACTCCATCAAGTATGGAGATGTCATATCCTGGTTTTCCGAAGGGACAACTGGCAGATGTTAGCATGAGCTTTCCACTGGTATGGGCTCTCAACAGGCACAAGCTTTTCCAACTAACCTGGACCAAACTAAAGTTTGGCGCTCTTCAGTTATGTTGGGCTGTCACCTCCCAGAAGATCCATCTAGATGTGACATGGAAATAGCTGAACACAGCTAGAGGCTATGAGATTGTGGAAAACTGGTCTGGAGCTTCTCATGTTACTGAGGGAACATGAGACAAAACAGCACTGCTTTTGTATTGTGTCAGAAACGACTTGAGAAACTGCAGGTTGTTTCTGGTGTGAGAAAATTGGCCTTCTGCAGGGATGTTGCCCTGGGAGGCCCAGATGTTTTACCATCCTGTGGGAGGCTTCTCTCATGTCCCTGTATGGGAAGCTGGAGCTGACAGATGGGAGCTCACCCCATCTCATGGATTCAAACCACTGACCTTCAGGACAGCAGTTCAGCCGGCAAAGGGTTTATTCCAAGCATGAACAAACTTGGGTCCTCCAGGTGTTTTTGACTTCAACTCCCCAGTAGGCTGTTAGGAATTGTGGAAGTTGAAGTTCAAAACCCTGGGAGGGTCCAAGTTTGCCCATGCCTGGTTTAATACATTACACCACTGCGGCTCCTGCAACACTTCTGTGATTACCTGACTGCAAGAGCATATTGAGTAGTTGAATCCAAGATATCTTCTCAAGCATATAGGTTTGGTTAGTGTGAGTTTTGCAGCTGGCTATTTACAGCCTCCTTTCCACAAGGAGAACCTTCAAATCCATTGTTGGTGTTTTTTTAAAAAAAAAACTCAGGTGTAATTATTATATATACATATATATGTATATGTATTCATATGATGATTTCAAAATATAAAATATATCAAGTCATGTGTTGACTGGCTTACCAATATAATAATGGATCAAACCTTTTAGTATAATTTAATTTATCTTTGCTAAAAATGTAAGGGCTGGAGGCTGGGAGTCAGAATGCTCCCTCGCTTCTGGAGTGTAAGCACAGAGATGTTGCAAGGGTTACATCATCTCATTATTTTATGTTTATCTGCCGGGAAGGGGGGGGGGATTCATGTAAAAATCACCCACAAGTTTTCTATATGGTAATACCAGTTGAATGTGTTTCTGCCACATGTTAAGCTTTGGATGTCCAGTGAAAGGACTGACACTGCAAAGTAGTCCTTTCCATAGACATTACATGACTGCTACTCCCATCATGCCAGTTAATTGATCCATGGCCTGGGGTTGATTGGAGTTGTTGTCCAACAACTGAACAACCCCGGGTTTCCTACCCCTGCCATGGGAAAGGGAAGGTTTGGAGAGTGACACAAGTTACCTTCTGCAGCTACTCATAGTTTGGCTCTAATGAAAAACTGTTGTACCATGCACTATTGAGGTCTTTTGACAAAGTGGAAAATTCTTTTAAAGGCGATCAGCACATTCCACAAAGATGCTGGACTCAAAATTGTGGACTGTATTACTCTCTCATTCCTGTATGAGAAGAAATCTCTTAACAAAACTTTGTACCCAAAATGCTCCACCGCTGCCATTTTTCGCTTTGCTAAGTGGGAAAAAAGTCAGAAACTTGTGGATAAGTATTACCATTGCAGTCCTGCAACTTTTGCCTTTAACAAGCAAAAGATTCCATGCAGGTGAGCACACTTAGGCAGTTAGTTGCTGCCATAATAAATGCAGATTTCCATCTAAGTCTGACCAAACTGATGGAAATGGGCCAGTGTGTCCACATCCATGTGGCATGTATCTGGTATTGCATGTATCCACACATTTGCAGTATAAAAATATAGTGCTATTCTTTTGCACTTCAACTGCTTTGCTTTTGGCCAATGGAATCCTGCTCTTTACAATTTGGAGTTGGGCACTTAGAATTCTCAACCAGACAGCTCCACTGCCTCACCAAAACTACAATTCCCAGGATTCTAAAAGGATGAAACCATGACAGTTAAAGTCCAAAAAATTACACACACACACACACACACACACATATATATCCCCCTGTATCCATAGGATTGGTATCCACAGTTTCATTTGTCCACATCTGACAAAATATGTCCTCTCTGGGATATTTAGTACAACTCAGTGAGAGTCTCATGCAGGAAGTCCTTCATGTCAGTAGACCAAGCGAGCAAACATTGGAGGAGTTGTGATATTTTATTTCCTCTTACTTTTTTTTTTAAAAAAAGACACATTACCTAATGATGGGACAATAGGGTCCTCCCTGCAGTAAAAATAATGCTATCTCTTTTTAAAAGGGTTTAAAAAGTGAGAAAGAGAGATCTCCCTTGACATTGTGTGCAGAACAGTTCTGGCAAAAAAAAAAAATGAAATGTATTCCGTTTTTACAGGAGTGGGGAGGTTGTCTTTTTTATTGTGAGGCTTTCTTTGTACAGAATTTTTCTTACAGTTGTAATATGACTCTCTTGCCATTCATTAGGGTTATTTCATTGTAGCCATTATTACTGTGCCAAATGTACTGTATTCTAAAGGATGTGAATGTGTATTGTTTTGGAACCCAATAAATACAATGATGTTAAAATCTCAATTTGTTTTCACTCTTTCCCACGTGTTTCCAAGTGAGGAATGAAGAGCTTCTCATAGCCACTGTATATATTAACTTGGATACTATTGTGAGCTTTGAAATGTTAACACCCCAATAACTACACACCAAAGAGGATCCAAATTTACATGCCCTCCAGACACATATATTTTAATACAGAAATGTGTTTGCGTGTGTACATGAATGCTTTTTTACATTTGAAACATCTAACAGGCTGGTTAAAAACATACTCATAAAACATCAAAGGCTCTCATGGCACCTATAAGTCTAAGAGATATAGTAAAGGTAAAGGTTTCCCCTTTACATTAAGTCTATTCGTGCTCATCTCCATTTCTAAGCTGAAGAGTGGACATTTTCCATAGACGTCTCCTAGATCATGTGGCCGACATGACTGCATGGAGGGTCGTCACCTTCCCGCCACAGCAGTACCTATTGAAATACTTACATTTCCATCTTTTCAAACTGCTAGGTTGGTAGAAGCTGGAGCTATCAATGGAAGCTCACCCCACTCTGCAGATTTGAACCATTGACCTATAGGTCAGCAAGTTCTGTAGCTCAACAGTTTAACCTGCTGTGCCACCGCGGCCACCTAAGAGGTATATTTTAGCATTATTTCTGATTTCAACCTACTTCCTCAATCACATGAAATATAATCTTAAAGCTTCAAATGTATATAGGCACAATGAACACGGCAATATGCAAAAACAATCAAACAGCATGTGAAGTTTCACAATTCAGCTATGGAGTATGATTGCAGTCCTGTACCTGGCACAGGACCCCCGTGAAAGTGAAAAATTCTGAAGAAACAGATTTTTTAAAAATTGGGGAGGTGATTGCTCCTGGAAGCTGACTATGAAATTACTTTGGAGGACTTAGAGATTCCTAGAGAGATGTTCTCTCTAGAAATCCCCAGGCTCTTCAGCATAATTGAAGAAAACTGACTGTACTCAAGAACCCATTTGCACTCAGTTAACTCCACAGAGAGGAAAGGAGGGGGGGGGGGAGTGGAATTTGTTCCAATGTGCAGTTAGTGCTAAGTATAATAAGGAGACACTAATTATGTTGTTTTTTATTGCTTCTGTTGTTTTATATTGTTTTGATGTTTTAACCTGTATTATGTTATTGTAAACCGCCTTAAGTCCCCAACTGGCTGAGAAAGGTGGTATATGAATACAGTAAATAAATAAATAAATAAGTTGGATGGCCCATGAGGTCTCTTCCAACTCTATGATTCTAAGTGTAAATGGGAAGTTTCATTTAATTTGTAAATATCTGAAGAATTTCCATAATGTGTATTGTAACCACATGACATTATTCCTAAGGCATGTTCCTAAGGCATGTCATGGCAGTGTGCTTTCCCCAGTTCGGGAAATGTGGCCTACAACAGAGATCCAAAGTGATTTCCTCCATATTCATAACACACATGCTCAAGGTCTCTCTTGTTCTTCCATTTCCAGTTTCTTGTTGCTTAAGGAAGAATATTTACGACTTGGATTAATTTCTGCCTTGAAAGTGTATGGTTCCAAGGAGAATGCCTGGAATCTGTTGTTTACAAGCAAAGATTAGGAGGTCAGGGAAACATTTAAAACTTGCACTGGAGGATTAACATAGAAGCCCAGCCTTTCCCAACCTGGTGCTGTTCAGATTTTTGGACTGTAATTTCCCTCATCCCCAGCAAGCATGACCATTTGTACTTTCATCCCCAGCAAGCATGACCATTTATACTTTAACACATATTGGGAGGATGGTGGGGAATACATTTGGAAATATGGTATAATTGTTCCTTCTCGGTATGTTTACTCATGCAGCTACAATTCTGCCTGTTGAATCAGTTATTGGATTTATGTGCAGCATATTTGCTTGCTTACAATCATATGGATGCTGCCATTTTACATGGGAAAACAATGCCAATTATTTTCCCAGGTATCCATCACTTCCTAGTAAAACCCCAAATATGTTTATATGGACTTTAAAACACAGTGTTTAGGACATTGTGTGCAAGTGTGCTGTTGGGTATCCATCACTTCCTAGTAAAACCCCAAATATGTTTATATGGACTTTAAAACACAGTGTTTAGGACATTGTGTGCAAGTGTGCTGTTGAAGGCTTTCATAGCCGGAATCACTGGGTTGCTGTGAGTTTTCCGGGCTGTATGGCCATGTTCCAGAAGCAGGCATGTAGCCAGGCGGGGGTGAGGCTTGATGGTGGTCCACAAGAAGGCCTTAGTGGTACATTATTTAAACTGTTATGTCTATTCATATCATGATCTGATAACCATGCTCAATATATCCCATATGCATGGGGGTATTGGGGTAACGATACAAAAGGTTTGCTAGGGTAGATCCTCTTTCACTCAGACTCAGCCCCCCCCCCCAATCAAAATCCTGGCTGAAACAAAATCCTGGCTACGGGCCTGTCCAGAAGCATTCTCTCCTGACATTTCACCTGCATCTATGGCAGGCAACCTCTAAGGATACCTGCCATAGATGTGGGTGAAACATCAGGAGAGAATGCTTCTGGAACATGGCCATACAGCCCAGAAAACTCACAGCAACCCATTGTGTGCAAATGCTGGTCATTGACCAAAATAAAATATTCATTCATTCATTCATTTTGTGTGTGCATGCACATGTGCTTTCACGTAACCTGTTGATGTGTGACAACCCCATGCATTTCATAAGGCCTTCTTAGACTGTAGTCATACTGCAGAATTATAGCAATTTGACACCACCTCAACAACCATAGTTCAATGCTACAGAATTATTAGATTTATCGACAGAAATAGGAAAGTATCTCACAAAACTACTAATCCCAGAAGAAATACTTGGAGGTGGTTTTGCTAGGAATGTATATTTCCAGAACTTGGGGCCCTTTTCTTCCCACCAACAGAATTTCCTTAGAGATACGTACATGCCTAGAGGTCACAACACAAAATGTGCTAAATGCAAAATGCATGACCTCAACAAGATGACACTGTACAGGTTATTCCCTTGGTAAATTCTTGGTGGAAATTTCCTGTGGAAAATTCCAAAATCATAAAATCATAGAGTTGAAAGAGACCACATAGGCCATCTAATCCAACCTCCTGCCATGCAGGAAAAGCACAATCAAAGCACATTTGAGGGAGCATGTCTCCTAAATACATGGCAGACATGTTGCCTAGCTTGACCATAAGACACAATGATAATCTGTTTCTTTATGAGGATGGGAGCAGTTTGGACATCATCCTTGTTCATCATATTGCATTAATGGAACTCATTTGTTCTATTGGGCACCTGCTAAAATTCCAACACTAATGCAATGAAGTAATCACTAATGCAAAGATGTCAGTCACTTTCAGGCATATGGACTTGAGAGGACATTTTAAGCACATGTAGGTAAGACCTATACATTTCCAAATCATGGAGATATGCAACTAATAAACACACCAATCTAGTTCATCTGGGCTACAATCCAATGTCCCCGCAATACAGCATAAATGCCCGCCATGTCCTTGCAAACCCCATGCAGAGTAACAATATTGGGCAACTCATACCAATGATTGTGCACCACCGTGCAATGAGAAACTGCAATATGAAACTACAATACATAACATCTCTGTATGCCCTACTCCACTTCTGCTGCAGTCAACAGAATATGTCTCTTGCATCATGGCAAATATTCACCCTGTCTGCATAGTGTGACTTATACATGAGTTATGGGATGCCAGCCAAGAGATGAGGACATTGGGAGGCAATATGTGTAGCGGCTCGTGCAATTTTTTCAATGTCGTGCATGTAAAACCAACATTCAGCTTGCCGTTGCCTTTGCAATACATTCAAAAGCTAAACATGTGCATAAACATTTCACAGGGCGTCATTACACTAGAGCAGTAATTCTCAACCTCTGGGTCCCCAGATGTTTTGGCCTTCAACTCCTTCAACTCCCCTGAAATCCTGGTAAATTGGCTGGGATTTCTGGGAGTTGTAGGCCAAAACACCTGGGGACCCAAAGATTGAGAACCATTACAGCGCCCAAACACGAATCATGGAACATGAAAGGCACTGCAGACCACTTCAACCAGAGAAGTCAGCCATAGCAGAGCACCTGATGAACCAGCCTGGACACAGCATATTATTTGAGAACACAGAAATGCTGGACCACACCAACAACCACCATGTCAGACTACACAGAGAAGCCATTGAAATCCACAAGCATGTGGACAATTTCAACAGAAAGGAAGAGACCGTGAAAATGAACAAAATCTGGCTACCAGTATTAAAAAACTCTAAAATTACAACAGCAAAACAACAGAGAGGAAACAACCAGGCACATCTTAACACCTCTCAGCAAGAGATTTTCCCAGGCTCGGCCAGGCCTTCAAATGCTAATGAGAGTGGTCAGTTGAAACATTCACACCTAGCTCCAGCAGAGAAAAGCTCTTTGCCCCACCCCAGCCATTCCACAGATATATAAACCCATTGTCCTAATTCCAACAGACCTCACTACCTCTGAGGATGCTTGCCATAGATGCAGGCAAAACGTCAGGAGAAATGCCTCTAGAACATGGCTCTATAGCTCGAAAAAACCCACAAGAACCTAATTAGAACTGTGTCTATCCAAATCAGGAGAGCCAGAGAATAAAATGTTAGTTGCCATCCTTGACTCACCTGTGGCATCCCACAGGTACAGGCCAAATGAAGCCATTCAGGGGGTCAAATGGAGAACATCCAGGTGATTGTAGGAAGCCAGGAAAGCCCTAAAATTGCACCAGTCCTAATGGTAGCATAATTACTTCCCTCTCATTGGTTTCAATGAGAAGAGAGTGAATTTTAAAAAATAAAACATTGACAAAGAAATCAATGCAAAACCACCACTATCTCCCATCTTAGCCACCTTTATCCAGCAGTGCTCTTGATGTTCTGCCACAGACCTCCCTGACCTCTCAATACTGAGATAGCTCTGTTTACTGATAAATGCCTGAAACAAATATTTCATGA